ATCCACCCCACAACCTCTCAACAAATGGTGGACCCCACCGTACTTGATTCTAACACAAATTCCTCAACGTGACATATATAAATTAGACCGTTTTATTCCCACGTGTTCATATTCTTCTCCACCCCCACCGTCGTATTCCTCTGTCCAACTTTTGATCTCCATAAATTATTTCAATCACTCTCCCTCTAATCCTCTTTCTCTCAACAATAATTTACACAAAAAATAAAAATAAAATGGAGATTCTTAACAATCTCTCTGTTGTTTCAACTTTTTGCTTACTTTTTCACATGATCATCAACCCAATATCAGTTACAGCAAAACCCAGTAATGATCTCTCCTATTTTGATCCAATAATTTCGAATTTGTACGAGCCCAGTTTCGAATTTAATTCTTCATCGGGAAAGAAATCCTTGATCCCAAATTTGGATACTGATTGCAGTGTATGGAACAGAGCTTGTTCTGAGGAGATTTTAAGGATTGCGATGAACCCAGAAAATGTAAAATGGATTAAATCAGTGAGGGGGAGAATCCATGAGAACCCAGAACTTGCTTTCGAAGAATTCGAAACGAGTATGCTTATTCGGCGTGAATTGGATAGAATGGAAATTGGTTACAAGTTTCCTTTGGCTAAAACTGGGATTAGAGCCATGATTGGCACTGGAGGGCCTCCTTTTGTTGCACTCAGGGCAGATATGGATGCTCTACCAATTCAGGTTTTTACTTTACTTCCACTTTTTATTCTTTATTAGCGTGCTTGGTAGTCTAGATTAAGCTGGATTAAGAGCAAAAAATAAATTAAAATCTCCTTCGTCAGCTTGTTTAGTATGCTGGATTCGACAATAGTTGACGGGATCAAGGAAGAAATATGGTCGAAACAATATCCAAACATCCCCTTTTATCCAGTTGGGTACATTGGATTTCAAGTGGATTGAACACGGATCCCAAAAAAAAAGTTAAAATCTAGACCGTCATTGTAGAATTCTAATATTGTGCATCAAACGTGCAGTACTTGCTTGTTTGATGAATTCCGCTACATGTACACGATTTTTGAATAGATAGATTCAGAGATGCATGCGTGGAAAATTCAAATCAAGGCAGTGTGCAAAAGCATTATTCTTGTTCTGTATACAGAATAATGCATTACAGAATGAAACTTGAATACTCAAGTAGGGTCCACCCCCATGTGAGTAAAATATTACCAAAAGAATACCCACCCACCCCATTGTGTATATTCTGTAAAATCCCAGTAACAGAAATTTCGTACGCCAAGTGGAGTTAGTGTACAAAATCATCTGTACAAGTAGAATAATTGTTGTTTGATATGCTAGATTTGACAGTACTGGATAGCATTGAGGAAGAAAAACCCACCAAATAAGCCCATTTACTTATTAATATGTTTAAGCACATTTTGTATGGAAAGTGATTAAAGGGGACCATACTTGGATAATGGACAATGTTCTTTTTCAACTTTGCTTAAGTTTTGCATTTCCCTTGTATGTCATTGTAGGAACTTGTTGAATGGGAGCACAAAAGCAAAAATGATGGTAAAATGCATGCGTGTGGACATGATGTTCACGTGGCCATGCTCATAGGTGCAGCGAAAATTTTGAAAGCACGCGAAAAACATTTACAGGTACGTCAAATCCCCCATTCTTGTATACTTCGTATAAGACATTGATTTTTTTGATCTATAGTTATAATTTAAGCGTGTTTTTGTAATTTTATGCTTTGAAAATCTTGAACTCTTCGATACATACAATTTCAACTTTGCCATGTGTGGTATGTAACATAGTCGAGTTATCTTGAACATTTCAGCCTATTGTTAACAGTTCATTTAAGATGATATTACTTTTAATAGGGGTATCACTTTGTGTGGACCACATGAGCCTAAGAAAAAGCAGAAAATTGGTTCATGGTTTCTTATTAGATGTAATAAAACTTGAAGTGAAAGCCTACCTGCTTCGCTATTTTGGTGTATAGACATAGATTTTGGTGAAAAAAGGCCCTACATATTTCTTTGTTCATAAAAGTATGTGGTCAAGACTTGACTCTATAGTGAAATATCAAGTCGACCTTACCAAAGTATGGGGTAATGACTCGACTCTGTAGTGGAATGCCTAGTCGACCTTACCAAACATATCATAAATTCACATATTCATCCTATTCTGAATCCCACGTGGGCCAATATTCATCAATTATTACGAAATGCAGCTTTTGGAAATTGACAATCCTATTCCTACAGGAGTTAACAATAGGAGAACCAATATTAATTTGTCTTCGAATTATAGCATGTTTGCCAACACTTAAAAGTTACATTTAATAACCTCTTCGCCAAACTTGTGTACTTTTTCTATTTCAAGTTTCAGTACAAAATCTTATTTTTGTGCAAGTAACTATAATAAGTTAGGTGATGCATATTAGTACTAACAGATAACCATAAAGATAAACTCAGTAAATGATGTTCTGCTTTTTTTGAGTTTGGGAGAAAAGTTATAGTTCTTTTTGATTATGACTGCCAACTACTTTCAAGGACCAATAATTTTAATATGTGGTGTTAACCATGAATTAAGTAGTTATCTTTTTAGTGGGGACATTTTCGAAGAAACCCAGTTAATGAAAATCCTTAACATAGGACTCGAGAAAAAAGTGATTTGATTTGTCGTGTGGTGAAGATTGTAGTTCTTGAACACGTCCATCTAATCGTATGGAGAAAATTGGTTTTTGTAAATAACACGCGAATTTGATTCAAGATACGTGGTTGAACTAAATGTGACGCGTGGCTATTTTTCTTGAGCTACTTTTGGATAAAACGTAACACATTATATTTCGTGTCAATTTTAACTTAAGTGGGAAGCAATATTTGCTTAAACCTTAAGAAATTTGATAGCATTTTATACCTATCATTCGGTAAGACGGGCATGTTTTATTTTTCCACTAGGATGAAATAAAATGAGCAAAAAAGGTGGTTTTCTGGACCAGCCGGCCCACCATCAGAAATTGACAATGGTAGTGGACATTATCAAAGATTGGCCCTAAGAAAATTGTTTCTGAATTTACAGATTGTTCTCTATGAAACCTGAAGCATAATCTTCCTCAGTATAATTTAGCTGCTTATTTACGACGCTTAGGAGACAGAAAATGAAAACTGTCACGTATCTGAAACGAAATCACTAGCTGTTTCCAAGTTTCCGTTCATCCTTAGCTAATATTACTTCATGTGACAGGGGACTGTGATACTACTCTTTCAGCCAGCTGAAGAAGCTGGAAATGGAGCGAAGAGGATGATAGAAGATGGAGCCCTTGTAGATGTCGAGGCTATATTTGCCGTGCATGTATCACATCAGCTCCCTACTGGTGTCGTTGGGTCGAGAACTGGTCCTTTACTGGCCGGTTGTGGCTTCTTCAGAGCTGTTATAACTGGAAAACAGGGCCAAGCCGCAAAGCCGCACCAGTCGGTTGACCCCATCTTTGCAGCCTCAGCAGCCGTGATCAGCTTACAGGGTATCGTTTCTCGAGAAGTGAATCCCTTGGACTCTCAAGTGAGTAGTTATCTGAAAATTTGTATTATGTCCGTACGAATTATCCTTATTACTAGTGTCAACTCAAGGACATAGTTATAAATAAATAAGTTTGTATCCTCTCTAAAAAGCTTAAAGTTTTAGGCGAGATGGTTCAACAATAGTTCAACAATGCTACATAAATCTGAATGATATTTGCATTTTGTTTGAATTCTCAGGTGGTCTCAGTAACCTTCTTCAACAGTGGAGATGATCTTGATGTTATACCTGATAGGGTCGAATTTGGTGGCACCTTAAGGGCATTTTCTAACGCGAGTTTCTACCAACTTGTCAAAAGAATAGAAGAGGTTTGTCCAAGAACTAAATCCGAGCTTTATACTAAAAGGTGTGCTCCGCATGCTTGACTGGACACTTTTGCTAGACAAAATTTAAGGAATAACCACATGAAAAAAGTTGTTAGTTATTAATTGTCGTGTTCAGTACAGCATACCGACCAATACCAAAATGTGACTATATTCTGTCAATTGTTTTAATGAAAGGCTTCCAATGTCTCGAATAGGTAATTGTAGACCAAGCTCGGGTTTTCAAATGCTCGGCCACAGTTGACTTTTTTAAGGACGCTGACACAATTTACCCGCCAATGGTAAACGACGACCACCTATACGAACATTTGAAGAAGGTCTCCACCCATTTGACAGGACCCAAAAATTTCCAAGTTGTCCAGCCAGTCATGGGGAGCGAGGACTTCTCATTCTACTCGGAGGTGATCCCGGCAGCCTTCTACTACATTGGCATTATGAATGAGACTCTAGGCTCAGTACACTCAGCACATTCGCCACATTTCATGATAGACGAAGATGTCCTCCCAGTAGGCGCAGCAACTCACGCTGCCATAGCCGAGAGATATCTCAACGACCAAGCTTTGTGATGGAAACTAAATTTTAGTGCTTAGGAAACATAGTACATAACAATCATCCAAGTTTTTACCTTCGTATGTACAGAAGATAGTTAAGCGTATGCTTTTCTCATTATTTGTGTAGACATAAGTCCGCAAATTTTATTTTGCCCCCGTTTGGCCCCATTTTTTATAAAACTCATTTTGTAGGACTCATAACTTTTATAAACTTTTTAATCATATATTTCATCAACGTTTTTCAAATCTATTTAAAATATAATTTTTAGCCAAACCAAATGGGGGCTTCATGCATGAATATGAATTCATATTTTTCATTCTTTTAACGTGGAACTCGAGTCCTGCCACTAAGATTTTTACTCCTGTATAATCATCGTATCACAAATTTTCGAAAAATTGATCCTTGTTTTTTAACATTTTCCCACCAAATCAACTTCAACACTCTAGCTATGAACTAAATGGAATGGTGAAAAACATCGCCTACTAAACCCCAAAGATCGAAGGTAGTCCTAAATTATCATAAAAAAAAAGGTAAGCAGAACTCAAATGAAGTTTTTAACAAAACAAAAGGAGAGAAAAATCATCAATCAGCAATTATCCATCGTCAAAATATTAACAACATCAAATCTCTGTTGATTTGTGAGTTCAGGAAACTTAACTAAAAATTTAATGAGTAAATTCCCTCTCTTGCCTGATTCTTTCGGCATTGCCATGCCTTGTCCTTGTAAAATCTTTTCATAACCAGGATGAATTATCTCATCAATTGTCAAGTTCTTTTCTTGTCCTCCTAATAAAGGGACTGAAATATTGCAACCTGTTAGAGCTTTAACCAATGGAATCTCTACTGTTAACTGTAAATCATCTCCTTCTCTGATGAACAAGGGATGTCGTTTCTCTGCAACGATAAAGGTTACGTCTGCAGGGTAAGTGCCCGGTGTCTCGTTCCCCATGCCCTCGAATGTTATTCGTGTTCCTTTTGTCCATCCTGGCTTCACTTTCACTGTTAGCACTTCATCTTCTTCTATTATTTGCCTGGCAAAATGGAGAGAATGTCTTGAGAGAGTTTGATTTCCTGTTTAGGAAAGATAGTCAAGTAAAGAAGAACAAAGGGTATTTTCTGTGCGGACTGAACAGTACAATGTACAAGATTAACTTCTTTTTACACTGTCCTGTCCAATTTTCTTCACCAAACATGTCATTAGGGTTGCACATAGGTCGAGTTCATTTTTTTATTAAAGTTCTAACAAGAAACATCCCTATAGATTGGTCCTGTCTTTTGTCTCTTTCATTCACCTCGACCTTCTTTTAGTGAATCCGGGCGAAGGGACCCTGGCTGCAATTTCATAAATGTTTCAACCACCTCAACTAAAAGCTAGGGTTTTTAGACGAGGTAGTTCGACTTAGTATCGAAAGAGCATACTGAAGTCGTAGTTCAAGACATATACCACCATGAAAATTATGTAACATCGTCTACACATAGGTGATAAGTTGGAGACATAATTCAAAGATTAGAATTGTTACTTTAGTTTTTAAATTAGATGGTTCAACGTTGAAATTACCCATCATCTGTGATAGCATCTCTTATGATCTTGATCTTCTTGATGCTTCCGAAACACAACTCCTCGAGTGAGCATTCAAGTTGTTGCTCGATTGAGGGGGGTTTTATCAGGCCACTGGAGTTGGAATACATGATGGGTGTTGAGCACTTCTTGCCACTTGCCATTCTCGAAAGTGAGGCCGCGGCCGATGCACCATCCACGCTATTCCTACGGCTTATAATTTTCGAGAGCGAGGGTGCGGCTGCTGTCTGACTTCTGCTGGCACTTCTCGACAGCAAGACCCCATCGACGCTGCTCCTACCGCTCATGCTTTTCGACAGGGAGGGTGCGGCCGCTGTCTGAATTCTGCTGGCGCTTCTCGACAGGGACAAGGAGCTTTTCGAATGTTTATTAGAAGCTTTGTGCTTGAATAAACTTCTTGGAGATCCAATGGGCTTGGGGGGGGGGGTGTTCCAAAGAAGACTCTTTTAGTACAATCCAAATATGATCCAATTAGTTTAGTCTAATCTTGACTTGACTCGACGCGACTCGACTCCATGACATGCGACCTCTAGTAATAGTGAATGAAAAGAATCTCAATGTTGCGTGTAGGTTTATTTCAACCAAATTCATGGTATCGTGTTTTATATCTTCTCGTATATGCATGCCTTTGTATGTTTACTTTTTCGAAATATGTTTGATATGTTCTTGAAATAAAAATAAATAATGCTTTATAGAAAGATTTATGAAGGAAATATCCACGTAGCTATTTACATAAGATAAATTATTCAATATTTCAAAATGATATATTAAAATTGAAACCCTCGATTGCAATTGGATGAGAATTTACCTTGTAATCTTCCTCAATGGATTTTGACTTTTTTTCATCAATTTCTGCTTTTTTTGGAGACACGTTATTCTTATCTGGATAACAACTGGAGACAAATGATTTGCAGGCTCTACAGACATTTCCAAATCCTAGAAAACGGTGAAAATCCTGGGCGTTTGACCTTGAATGTTCTGCCATGAGAAATATCAAGAGTTCTAGAGAGAGAAAGGGCGATAAATAGAGAGAGAGAGAGAGAGAGAGAGAGGGATTAATTAAGAAAATGGATGATTAGCCAAGTATAGAGCGTTTTATGAGGCCTTCTGTTTGCAACATCAGTTAATTAAGAAAAATCAATCAGCACTTTAAAATTTAGTATAGAAGATTCTGATACTGCATACATGTTTGTATATGATCGAATATTTTTTTACACACATATTTTATAAGATTTATAATTGAGTAATGTTATTCATAGTGAAAGCTATCGATAGTCGTCCTACGTGACGTACACATGACAATTTATTATTCAATTATTAATTACACACATTCCGCAAGATTCAATATTTATAAGCATTTAAAAAATCAGTATTAAACGTGCTCACATTAATAAATTCTAGATAATGAAAGGGACCTTTGTTACGCATTGGCCTATGAGGTAGGTAATGTGACATTCAGCTAAAAAATAAAAAAATAAAAAATGCAATAAACCATGCAAGGTCTGCAATTCACTTCATCTTCCCCATTCATATGTTCCTGTCAAAGTGATTGGATGATTGGGTTCACCATTGGACACCTCGTCCAAAGTGACTACTTTCAAGGCGAGACGCCACCTCCAACTATAGTGCATGTCTGATGCGATTAACATCTTTTGTGAAGGGCATATTCCACCAAAAATACCTAAGACAAAATACTCCGTACATTGACAGATTTGACATTCCTGCGATAAATCTGCTCAGTCAACTTTTCAGTTTTCGCGACACTATTGATCTTGACTAGGGGACTGTTAGGATAAGGCCATGTGTCAAGCATTCAATGGACAATAACCCTCCTCTCTTGGCATATTCACACATAGCGCCTACTTGGAAAAATTACTTATCAAGATGAAACTTCAAATGATGGTTTTTGATCAAAGAAATCTTCCCCCACCGTGATATTGATAAGAAAATCTTAAATCCTTTCTAGTTTCGGGGCAAACAAACTTTTTTCAGTTAAGCAATCCTAATCTAAACTTATTAATTGGAAGTTTACGTCAACTACAATTATCCATATGGCAAAAGTTCATTGCTTCTACTCCGAGTAATTAAAAGTGCTATATACAAATCTAGTTACTATTTTTCATCCCAATTAGAGAAAAATTAAATTTGGCATGTTCTTAATAATATTGCCCTTTGATTCAAATCTCGCTACTATGTTTTATCCCTATAGCGTGCTTTATAAAATTTTCTGTGTTGTGCTTCTTGATTTCATTTTGAAACTCATTGATCTTTTTCAATAATCTTTAAGAACCCAATATTATTGCAATTTTTTATTTTTTTTTGGGTATGATTATAATTATAAATTCATGGATTATTGATCCTTGACATATGTGCTCATATGTAATGTGAAAAATAATTTGGATATGGAAACATTTCAAAGGTAAGGAAAGGAACTTTTTCCATTTTTCTTTCATTTCAAATTATTCTCTTCCCTTAATACAAGCGACATACACGTGGTACACGTCATTGGCACGTGTTCAGTACATGTGACTGTTTTGTTGGTACATCTTTGTCCAATTAAATTCAATTAATTCCACAATAGTCCATGACAAATTATAACTCATACAATTTATCTCAATTCTTCTTTTGAAGGCATCGAAGAGACGTAATCGAATCCAATTAAACTAATCTTCAATAAATTTATCTTGGCCCGGTCATCTTTTGATAGATAATTTATTAATCATGTTCTATTTCACTGAAATAAAGAGATTGCACTCCAATTTAATTGAAATTACTGAAGTTGTATAATCGATAATTATATTCTCTAACATACCATTCTTACTTATTACCACGTCGACCATTTTGAATAATTGGAACAAGGATGAAAAAACCAAAACATCATTTTTCATATATATGCAAAATCTCAAATTTCATTTTCCTATCTGCGAGTTCCACGTGACTACATCAAAATATTAATTCAAAAATTAATGTTGAACTAATGGCTTCAAAATTAATTGTCTACTATAAAATCCTTTGAAGTCCTGATCGTGCCTATTAAATAGATGATGGATTCCATTTTAGGAATATATATTCCTCGAAATTTCAATTTAGAGTAATGCTATTCGTAGTCATTCACTGCGGCAGTCGCCATTCGTGGCATATACATGGCAGGTGATTATTTGATACATTAATGTGGTAGTTTTTTTATTCATTAATGCATCAAATAACCACCTGTCATATGTATGTCACGTAGGGCGACTGTTGTAGTGAGTGACTGTAAATAATATTAATGTTGAACTAATGGCTTCAAAGAACTTCAAGTTGGTAATAGAAGTCCATTAGTCACTTGCAATTAATATCCTACGCACGAAAGTTAAACAAAATTATATTCATAAAAAAATGTACTCTTGTCTTATTACCAAATAAAAAATAAATTTTAATAAAATTGAAACAATCTTATCAAAATAAAACATTCACCTTTATTTATTGATAGTGAGCTATAAAATTAACATCAACTAATAAATCATATCTTTCCATGTATAACAACTTAAACACTTGATTTATAATATCAAAATGATCTATGAACAAATGCAAACTTGTTATAAATTAGAAAGAAAATAAGACGAAAGTAGAGAAGTCAATAGACTCATGTGTATAATATTGAGAATCAAAGTCTTATATTTATAAAGAAAAATTAGGGATATAATGATAATAAAAATTAGGGTTACAAGGGGGTATAATTACCATTCCCTATAATCATATTATTTACAACACTCTCTATGGAATGACACATTACAAAATATACGTTTCTTTAAAATCGTGTCAAAAAATTCAGTGGGACAAAAATTTGATCGAAGGAAAAATAGTACAGTTACTTTCCCTGATTTCAATTTTTTGTATCAATTCATCCTTATATTGTATGTTAATGTCTTCAATGGTACAATTTTTGGTGAAGTATGTCTTATGTAGTCTTCAAATAACACTGTCTTCATATGGGATATTATCAACCTTTGATAAGTGTAATAAATGATGATTCGAAAAATAACTCTTGTTATTATATTTGGGAGTCTCATACATATCAGACTTATTTCAAGGGTAAATGTCTTTAGGTTTTGGAAATTCATTAAAAAAAAAAAAAAAAACTCATTAAAAACTTATTAGAAAAAGTCCCGTGGGACAATCCTAATGAAGAAATAAGAGTCCATTATTCTTTTAAACACACTACAAAAGTTGTCTCATTAAAAACAATGATAGAAAAATTCAATGGGAAAAAATTTGGTCAAGAAGAAAAGAGTACAACACGTATTTTTCCCTCATGACGATTTTACTTGAATTATGTGTTCCAGGCATAAAATCCTTCAAGAATAGTATTAAAATCATACGAGATAAGTTGATTATAATCACATTTATTACATACATATCAATTTTCATACATTGTCGGGCTAAAAAGATAGAAACTTGTGACTGCATCCACTACAGGATAATTTATCTATTTATACAAGTTTTTACTAAAATAATTATGCTAAGAGTCGTATATTATATATTACAACTTTTTTTTTCTATTTACATATCGCATAAGTATACACCTGTTTTGCGCGGGTAGTCGCTAACAATTAAAAAGGGATCAGAAGATTGTATAAGGAACAAACCTCTTGAGACAAAATCCCAAAAAGGGTGTTTTATTGGCGATGACTTTACAATTGGAACTTAAACAGAATGTCTCCAAGGGGCGCAAGCACACGAGTACTGAAAAGAAATGTTTAAGTCTAAACTAAGAAATTGAAATTACATATTTTCTATTTGAGAGTGTTTGATTCAGGGTCTTTTTGCTCTATGTCTTTTCTTCCTTTTATATTCCCTTGATGATCTCTTCGTGATCAACCGCTTAAAAACTGCTTAATTGCTTTATAACTGTCCACTTTTTTCATGGTGGCCAACTTATCGTGGAACTACCGTCTCTAACTGCTGCCACTACTCTTTGTCGTTCAACCGTCTTCAACTGAACATTCTTGAATCGTGGAACATGATAAGATTACTTAATAACTGCTTCGATAACTGCACTTTTGAATAACTATAACATCTTATGTTTGTTAAGATTCTGGGCGATTCGAAGGTTTGGGTGAGAACAGGGTCATAACCCTGGGCGATTGCAAGGCACTTCATTCGCTCAGATTTTGGGCGTCTTGCAAGTTTGGGCGATGGTGTTACCACATTCGTGGGCTTCCACTGCATTCATTAGTAACCCTATTTGGGTCTTTATCCTGAATTCCCCATTTGGGCTTCATTCTTTGGGCTATTCGATTTGGGCTGCACTTTTAGCGTGTCAACAATTATCCCCCAATATGGTAGAATTAATACAAATTATTAATTTTTGCCATATTCATTTTGTGTTTCCTAGCAACATTTGAAATTCTCAAGAATTTCAATCATTA